TTTTTTTTTCAGAAATTAGAGATAATTCTTCGACCACCCCTTTGACCCAAAAATCCAAATTTGAAGAAAATGCCGACCCGAAGGTATACTGTAACCTTAAGGATTAGTATTTAAAGTTTTTACTAGCATTTTAATAGCTCACTTTTGTAAGTAGTTCTTAGATCTTATCTATTTGTTGTCTAGCGTTTTTAACATGATCCTCTGGCTCGGAAGATTGTGCAAACACTTTCCACGTTTTTGACATAAAATAAATTATTACTTTTACTATTACTATTACTATTACCACCAGCAAATTGTACAGTATGTCTTTCTTTAAATGTGGGATACTGTTGCAACAGCTGATAGCGCTTTCTGTACTCTTCAATTCAACCTTTCTGGGTAGACGTCACAATAACCAATGGACCAATTCTCTTCGCCATCAAACTCGGCCGTGAAAAAAACTGGCGGTGTTTTATGTGTGTGTGTGTGTGTTTTTTCGAGATTTCGTCGGGGCACAGAAAATCAAGGATTTAACCCAATCCATTTTTTTTTTCTCAGAAGTATTTCAACTAACAAGTAAATGAAAAACAACTAACTGAAAAACCGCACAGACCTAAATCTTGGCGAGATTGTTTCTATGTCAATCATCTATCATATCCCAGATTCTCGACTTAATTTACTGAATGGTAACGATTTTTATCTTTGATGGCGTGACAGTGTAAACCAGTCATCCTTTAAGTCTTTTTACACGACCCCTCGGTTAAGGGTAGTCCAGTCCCTGAGCGAGGGCCTCAATGAGGTTGACTGTCAAATGGCCAGAAAATTAACCGTCGATCGTCAAAAACGCAACATTTTTACCGTCAACCGTCAAATGAACAAGCCAATAATAGTCGTCAAATGTCTCGTATATCCTTACTTAGCGGGTAAGTAAATACAAATAAATACAAATAGTTTTTCATCGTGAATTACGCGCTCTGCAGATAGCGGCTAACGAGAACCTTTTTGCCGTTAGTTTTAGCAGACAAAGGCTAGGTTAAGCTTTTTCGGAAGTCAATCTGGTGTTCCTGCTTGTTATTAGGCTGATTTAGCAACAGGACGGGAACGTCAGATGACGACTGCAGGGCGCGCGGAATAACCTGGATTCTGCTCTAATTTGACCATATTTGGGTATTTGCCCTACCATATTGGGTATTATTTACCATATTTGGAAAATATTTACCATATTTGGCAAATATTTACCATATTTGGGTATTTCCAAAAGTTCTGCCATATTTGGCTTTTCCCTTCAGAGCAGAAAAACGTAATAAGCATGTGCGAGTTATAGTCGCGCGCCAGGCTCTAAGTTTGAAAAAATGGCGGGAATTTCGTCGATCTTTTGAATAAAAAAAAAATACTTTCCCAGTTTCTCTCGCTAAGTAGCAGCATTTTAAGGTCACTAACGGAAAGCTTGTGTAAGGTTTTCGTGGGGAATCGATTTTTTTTCAGACAAAATTAACCTCGCGGCATACAAGAAATTTCGGTGCGAACACACATTCTTTCCATAAACACTCTTTACATATTGTATTCATAAGCAACCCACTAAATATATAAGCAAGAGCGCCTCACAACAGGCAGGGGAGCCTTGTCCTTTAACAGTGAAATGCCGAAAAAAAAAATAATGCTTGCCCATGTATAAACAAATCAACCAAGTGACATCCTCGCGTACCTTATTAGAGTCCGCCGCTCTTTCCAACCAATACAGCCCGCATTATTACCTGAGCCCGCAAGTAGGGCTAGGGATGCGCAGAAAGCTGCGCAGTACGTTTATCCGCTATGAAGGTTTTCCCATGATTTGGAGGGGAGATGGGGAATGGCGGTGTTCTGAGCAAGCGAATGTAAGTTATTTGGACTCTCGTTGAACTTTTACATAGCGCGGGGACTGGACTAGGTTAAAAGCTGACCTCGTTCCCGAGGTTTTAGCATCAAAGGAATTCTGTCGACATTATAGCTGGCAAAATACCACCTAGAATAACTGAAGAATCTAGTTCAGCTCAGAGAGTAGATTTACTAGGTGACAAAGTACTGTAAGCCCACACACAAATGTACTGCCGACAGTTTATCGTTAAGTCGTAGTCGTTGTTATTCTTAACTTCAAACTAACTGCAGTATTAACCTAACTGCTCAACAGGTGGAAAAGCTATTTGGTTCTATCAATGGGTGAGTGAAAAAATCTCGGCATTGTAATAATAAAAATAATTTTAAAATTTTTGTAGCGCCATTGTCAATCGAATGTTTGGAAATCGAACTCAATTGGTGGATTGAATTCGATTGTGTTTCGTCTATTGAACGAAATCGAACACAATACAATAGATTGCGTTCGATTGCATGTGTTTGCTTGAACAAAGATCATGTGATGTGGTCTCAAAAACACGTGTTATACAGGTACCGAAGTAGCTCGAGCCTCGAAAAACTTGTTATTGATTCTCAACACCAGTTTTAAGGTCCATTTAAACTGGCGATTTTTGCCGCGCAACTAAATGCAATTTTTGTCACGCCAAAATTGTAAATTCGAAATCGCGGTGTAAACCAGCTGCGATTTCAATGCGATTTTTGGACGATTTATCGCCGCGACTAGCCATGATTGTAATGCAACCTACGAAACACAGTAACTTTGAGCAGCAGTTTCGATACAGAGCAGGGCATATGCTGTTGTTACAAAATGGCGTCGCGATAAGCGAGTCTTCCCTCGGTTTTCACTCTTTTTTACTTTTGTGAACTACTTAGTAAAGTACCACATGGATGTAAAGGAAGACGTTGCTGCTGCTTGTTTGTGCATTGCCATTACAGTCGTCAGTGCTTAACGAAGACATACAAGCAAGGGCATTTTGAACTTATCTCAGTAAGAAGTTCTTCTCGTATGTCCACGACCGGTTTCTAGTTCATTTTTCGTCTTACCGTACATCCTCGAATTAGCGCCCGGGACACTTATTTCAAATTTAGGAGACGACGGGGGGCGCTTACTCGAGGGGGGGAGGCGTTTGTTTAATACTTCCCAAATTGTGGCCTGACATGATCATTTTTTAAATACATCATTTGCGCGTAAACAACAATATAAGCTGTTTATCGACATAAAAAGCTGATCCTAAAGTTGAAATCGCGGAACCATTAGTGCTTGTATTTTGCACTAGCCTCATGTTCGATGCTAAAAAAATATGTGTCACAGCAGACTTTAATGCCGGCAGGCTGGCTCCAAAATTACCTTAACACTATACAGACACCAAATACATTCGAAAACGGATATGTCATGCGCTATAATCTAAGAATATTGACAAGAATATTTTCAGCCTACAATCGGCAGAAAAATAAAGATTTTCAGCCCCGGCCGGAAAAACAATATTCTTTAGAAAAAAGAGTGCAGGTGCAGCATGTTGCAGAAAGCATTGTCCATTAGCTGCTGTGCTTTAGTATAGATATTATTCAGGATCTTTTCTTAAAATAATTTGTATAACGTCATTTGCTGACCACACCATCAGCAAGACCACAAAACCGCGTCCGTTATTTTGATCGTGTCTGCCCAAAGCTCAAGCTGTGAACATTGATCATCTTGCGTAATCGCGGCCCGGAAATGGCGCTCATTGTATCGGAATATCTACGATAGGTTTTGGGAGGTAGCAATACTTCCTGTTCCCGGCAATAAGAAAGCTAGAAAGAGAAAACTCGCTAAAAAAGCTTCAAATCAGCAGAAACAATGAACAGGCAACAATCAATACACTGTGGAAGAAAGAAAAGGCATTTTTAGTAAGAGCTTTCTAGGATTTTTCCCTTCTTCATATTCCATATTCCCATAGAGTCTTGTAATTTTGCCATAACCGCGACCAACGCTTACAGCTTGAACTTGATTCGCCTGAGGTCTGCCCCACCCATGTTACCTTTATACCCAGTTACACTAAGTTTTCAACAATTTAGTGTTATGGTTGCAACCAAATACTTTCTAATCCCACCTAGTTTGGCACTGTGTAACTCTTTTCGGTTTAAAATGAGCTTAAAATGGTTTAGTTTGAATATCTATTGAATACAGTAAACACCCGCATATAAGAACGCATGATTTCGGGGTTCAGGCTGATCTAGTTCTTATTTATCGGGTGCTTAGTGAGAAATCAGCCTGAAGATGTTCTTAATATGTTCTTAAACTTTGTTTCAGAAATACTACACATAACATGTTATTAGAGGTTTAGTTAGCATATTTTATTATAGAGCGGTTTTCATTTGAGTGTCGAAAAGTAATTGGTTTTGCACTTTCCACGCCACACGATTGGCTTAAAAAGCTCGCGCCACTTTTTCATCCAATCAGAGGTACAACAAAAACCAATTGTGACGTGTTCGCATGCATTTTTCCGCTCTTCACGTCAGCTACAAGTAATTACTTCGAATTTTGATTGGTTCCACTGTATTGTTTGTGCCCTTTGTGATTGGCTAGAGTGATTACTTTGGTTTTGGTTTTACGACACTCAATTGAAAACCACTCTAACTAAATAAGCAAGTAAGTAAACAAATCAGTAAATCAATCAATAAAGGAAAAATCTGTCAACTAGTAAGTTACTTAACATTAACGAGTAGAAATGTAACATTAGTTTCAACATTTTTCAACATTTCTTACAGTCAAGCTAACTCAACCGGGGCCATCATTGTCTAGCAGCAACCATAGTTCCATTGCTTTCTTATTCCGATACCCTCTCCCAAATTATATAAAAACATGTTTTATTTATCAGGCTGAACTGGTTCTTATATCTATATGGATGGTGCTTTATGGGTTAAATTTCAGCCTGATGTTCTTAATCCATTTGTTCTCATATGGGGGTGTTAACTGTATTTCTTGTTAATTAATCACTAGAGCAATATTCCCTGGAGGCCATCGGCTATTACACCACACTAACTATACAAGAGTTGGAAAACAGATATTAGAGCTAGCCCGTAAGGTGAGATCGAAATATCACTATGTTTAGTGATTAAGCATCCCATTTGTTATTTCCGGGAACAGCTAAAACATTCACTTTGAATTCATAGTCTATTGCGTTACTTTAGCCATTTGTACGCGAAAGTATAAGTATGTGTAGTAGAAGTGAGATTTTTTTCATTTTCCTGAAGAATTTATTTTATTCTGGAAAAGTTAACAATCAGTGGCAAGCCAAGGTTTGTTGTTTATCGAAGAACGTCGCTCTTAAACTCAATCGAAACTCAACGTGAAACGGTTACCCGAAGGGCTAATGAGGGCATGCGCGGAAAATAGGGCAATCAAAGAGGAAACTGGCATCCAATGGAAGGGCACTAGATCATAGTCCCTTGATGAGAATTAAAATGGAACTTTGAATCGATTTTCGCATTGGGGAAAAGTTAATTATTGTCGATAATTTTGCAGGTGTACTAACACATTTAAAAGACTTAAAACAACTTGGGCAGAAAGGAAAACGTAACATTTGATCACGTCGGTATCGCAATGAGAACCAGATCAAGGGCTTTCTACTTGACAATGTTTATCAGTGTAGTGGCTTCACGGGCGCTTATTCTTCAGCTTTTAACAGGTTCAGTCCAGTTTGGTTGGTCTATGTGGCCGCTTGTCCACCACCCAGGTCATTGTCTAATGGTCATTCAAAAACTTGTTAGTGACCAGCAATATAATTCCAGCCAAGCGTGAGGGCTGTACCACTGTACTAGGAAAATATTACCCGAGGTCGTTCTGGAACGGACCATACCAGAACGTCTAGTGAGAATTAAACGAAATTGAGCCTACTTTGATTTTAAATTTTAAGAAATAATAGTTAATAATCCAAACATTCATAATCCAAAGTTTTACGTCATCTAGTCCCCTTAGTCTCATGGGGACATAGACCGTCCACTGTTGCTTTCGACTTCTGTCGGTCTTGAGCTGCTCTTTTGGCCTAGCACCAAAGTTTTACGTGCGAATGATTTAATATATGGCTCTCGTGAACGTTTTACTATTCGTTGTTTGCCAGCTAGCCGAGTATTCACTTCGCCTACAATACAAGGGGGCATTACGGGAAAATCCGTCACCGAATATTGGCCAATCAAAACGCGTGCTGCAGCCTGAATTTCAGCCGTCTCGTCGAGTCGAACACGTTCGAAAAGACTTTGTGGGAGAGTGCTACACGAGGAGCCCGCTGAATTTCAGGCTAAAAAATACACTCTAGTCAAATGAAAACCTGATGCCTATTGACTGAGGTAGGTCGCGGGAATATTTTCCCATTCAGTCAATAGGCTCATGAGAGTCTAGTCTAAAGGAGGATCGGGGTGGGAGAGGGGGAGGGAGGGAAACACAATTTTTAAGCGAAACAGTAAGGGCCCACTTTTATTCTGTTGTAACCCTCTGCTTTGTTTGTAAATGTTCTGCAAATCTTCGCTTTCAGAACCTCTGGATTCGCAACTGTTTAAAAATTGTCTTTATTTATGTCAGGCGTTAAGCACGCCCTAAATTAATGGCTGAATTGTGTAAGACTGGACGGGATTTTCCAGACGAAAGAAGATTTGAATTGTCGATAGCCTTCACTTCAACTTATGCATTTATCTAAACTCTTTACAGGCTTATGATAATAACGACGTGTTTCCAATCTGGGGAGAATGTCTGGGCTTAGAGCTGGTCTCAATGCTGGTTGCTGGAAGAGATCTGCAAGTTGGACAACTTGACTCTGGATTTTTTACTAACGTTGATGCGAAAAACATCAGCCTGACGTTAAATCTGCTGACAGGTTAATGGCTTTTTTGCTTCTGAAACGCTAACTTTCAAAATCGGCACCGGCAATTAAGGTGGCCAACGACGGTTTCCAGTATTTTTCATCTTTTTGATGAAACACATTTTTTTCCCTTGATATCATAATAGTGAAATGAAACAAATGGCCAATTATCGGTGAACACGTTGTCATTTTCTTGACGCAAAAGGTCACAATCATAGCAACGGTATGCCAGTTAAAACACACTTCATTTTTAGTGCGAAGTACTATTGAGGTTAGAACATTGGGAAAGATACTTCGAGTAAGCGAAATGCTACGTCCTGATCGAAAACTTGGCCCTCAGACGTCAATATTTTCGTATGCTGGACACAACATGACGACATCCCGAAGACCGTAGCCCAATCTGTTTAACTTTTCATTGTTTAACTCCGTTAAATTCGTGTAGGGGTAGCTGGGGGCGTATAGGAACTCCCTTGCATGGTAGGCGAAGCAAGTGGCCCTTTGAAAATACTAAGTAATTTTTGCGATTCTGCGATCGTATGCGATCCATTGAGATCGTCTGTGATCATATGGAAATCAGACTCAATGCAACGAAAAAATCAAGGAAAAAAGCACCGAAAGTATGACACTGAGAACAAAATACTGACGTAACAAAAGTGAAAATCACAAACGAACAAAAAATACGAAAAATTTCACGTGTCAGCAGATGAGTGTGTTTTGTTGTTGCTGATCACTGTCTTCCTTTCACTTTTCCTGCTGCCTATGTGAAACTTCTCATAGCTTGGCGAAAGACTGCAATTGTTATCCCTATAATCGGTTGTCTTGCCACTGGAGACTCACGAATTCCGCAAGTATTACAGGTGAAGTAAAATTTCTTAGCGTCCTTCAGTACACAAAGTTCTATAATATAAAATACGCAGGTTTAAAACTTAGACTAAACATTTGAAAAGGACTTTCAAAAGGCTTTTACAACAAAAAAGTGGAGAAAAATACATTTACAAACAATGGGTTTCACCAGAGATAATGACACCCAGGATAAGAAAGAAAACTGTAAACGAACAAAAAATATTCCCCAATCTCACCAAATTGCGCTTCGGATCAATCACGCACATAAAAAATTTCTCGTGTCAGCCTGGCCGCCATTTTTTCACAATTCGGCGAAAGACAACTTTTGTTATCCGTCTATTCGGTTGTTCTGCCATTGAAGACATTAAACAATGGGTTTCACCAGAAATAATAACAAGCGAAGGCAAATTTCGAAAGGTTATTGACACCTATGATAAAATGCTGACCGGACAATAGGTGAAAACCCTCAACCAAGAAAAAAAATATTCAACGATAACGTACGTGAATAATTTCAAGTGTAGGCTAGCGAGTGAGTTTTGGTTTCGCTGTTTAACTTTTTACCCTCGACCTTTGTGGCTTCCAAATGATGCAACTTTTCATAGTTGACTCAGTGATCGTCATGATAGCTGCTCAACTTGCTCCAAGAAAAATCGGCTGCTTCAGTGATCAAGATTGAACCAGCGAACAAGTGAGAAAATGTTCCTATAAAAATCTCTCTGGCTTTAAAACCCCCACTGTGTTATATTAAATGTTGCTGGGGAAGTGGGGGAAAAATGTGAACGCTATATCGATCGATGAAAGGGACAGCTTAAGGGACTGCAAAATTAATGGTCCACCGGTCAGCAGATTAACTCGAATTAACTGGTCGGCGGATAAACGCCTAAAACTTTATGATACTGAACAGAGTGACTGGTCGAGTGGGATTTCATTCGTTAACGATACTTCTGTTTCGCATAATAGGCAAAATAATCGTAAACAATGGGGGTAACAGAACTCGTTTTTGAGTTATGAGCGCTTGAAGCCGAAATTAAGGGTGCTTTTAACAGGAAACAGTGTTGCCATGGAAAATTGGAAAGTCAAGAAAATGATCATACCCTTTTCACCAATGATTAGGCATTTGTTTGATTACATGAAGTGTTAAAAAAAATACTTGTATTGATTCATGGAAAAGATCCTTGAAACTTTTTTCAGCTGTCTTAATTTGCTTTATCACTTTTTTGTTTTGCATAAACGAAGCATCTACCAAAGGCTTCCTCTAATATTCCGAAGATAATCCAAACCCATATCGAAGCCCTTAAAAGAGCCAATTCAGACTTCACAACACACTTAACGTTTTAGTTTAAAGAAATTCCCGAACACTCCCAAGGCCAAAAACACGAGCATTCACAGAGAAAGAAAACTGTCAGCTAAAATATGACTGTTTAGAATAATGACCGTACACATATGTAGCTCCCTCATTCAAAAGAAGATTGACTGAAATTGAAATAGGATTTAATTTACAGCAAAAAAAGTCACTCTAATTTAATTCGTTGTTTTACACGTCAACTGGACTTGCACAAACAATGTGACTCAGAACAGAAGCTCGCACACACAGCAGAGTACATGTTCAAACGACAAACAGAGAAATGTTCTACACTTATTCTTTTCACAGATTACAAAACGACATCTCTGTGGAAATCTGCTCCAAGTCATGTGGTGAACTTCTTGCAGAACAAGAGAGTGGCATACAACAACCACTTAAAAGCCATCACCCCGCAGGTTAGTCATGACTTGTACTGCAATCTGTCACGCCAACGATTAGACAAAGCAATATAACTAGTAATAGTTATCACTAAAGCTGCCCCCGCTTTCTTTTATTTCTACTGATTGAAAACAATATTGAACATTACTGTATGACCTAAAACTTTAGATCTTTTTTTTTTGTGAACGTATATCACTCATAATGTTCCTATAACTTATCATGGTTGTTATCCAAACATTCAACTAAGTAAACTCAACCAACACTTTCTATTTAACTCATTCCATTCCAGACAGCCGCGAGTTTTCGTTTGAAAGGACACGAAGTATTTTCTGACAAAAAAAGGTTTCCTTCATGGGAACTAATATTTCTGTTACAAAAATTTCATTCAGTAGATCTTAAGAAAGTAAGGTTAAAAAATTATAGAGGAAAAAATTTATCATGATGTCAAGCCACTCTGCTGTTTGAATTTGATGATCAAACAAACCATTTTTCTTTTTATACGAGCAAACGTATCTCGAAAGCAGAACAGCAGTTGAGAAAATCATCTGGAACTTGCTGTCACGATTTTTTTTACTGAGACATCAACAGAATAGCCCGAGTATCAGGATTTTCTTACTCGCGGGGTAGGAGGAGGAAGCACCCGGTTCTCTGCAATTCCCCCTACCCCTACCCTCTTGCTAAGAAAGGCTTGATACTCAGGTTATTAACAGAAGTATCGCGTTACTGTCACCTCTATAAATGCAAATTAGAGTCAAGTTCTTTGTCCTCAACNTGGGGGGGGGTCGCTGGATATTCTACTGTCGCCACAATCTGATTGCCTGGAACAGGCTTCAAACAAATACTTTTATACTTTTCACACAGTCGTTTTGCTTTACTGTCAAAATTATACTCTGGAGGAAACAAAACCGAGTATCAGACACATTTATAAGCGGCTATTTTGCTTAACTGATGGGGTTGGGTTGTTTGATGTCCAGGGAATTAAAAATCTTATTTATTCCTTCCACTTTTCATGAAATTCATTCTTGGCATGAAGTGAATCAAGGTTTTAGCTAGGATTCTGTGAGTGGCCGTCCAGTAACCATGATATGGGGCCAAATGGCCTATTCTGCTACTGCTAGGGGGGTCTGGGGGTAGGCCCCCCCAGAAAATTTTGCAAAATTGAAGCGTTTTTGGTGCGTTTTCCACGATTTTCAGCCGATAAATTTAATGTATCGATTAGACTTGAATGATAATGCGTCGTTTACTCTGTCAAAAACCTAAAGTAGACTGAAACAGCCCATACTAAACGCATCAGTTGTGTTAACAACTCCCTGATTGTCTTTTACGACGTTTGTCCAACGTTGATCTTAGCGGCCATCTTAAGTGAAGGGTTACGGTTCGCCATGGGTGTGCATATCTGTGTCCACAATCGTCATTTATACATGTTAGTCGTGAAGTCACTCCTACATATATGTTGAGGCTTTTAAAACACGGTATGTGCTTTCTTAATTGCAAACGAATCAAGCAGGATGGCTGTTTATAGCACTTGTTTTTTTTTTTTATCACTTTTTAGCCATGGTTTGGGTTTTGGTAGGGGTTTTTCTGCAAGGATGTTTGGCTAGCAGTGTCCATGATGATGTTGCTGCACACAAAATGTATCAGCCTTGAAAGGGAAAAATGTCCGTTTTCCTAATTGTAGAGAAAACTAGGTGAATGGGGATTACACCAGGACCAAGAAATTAAAACCGCAGAATAAAGTGGCTGCCAAGGTACCCTTCTGGCGAGTATAATTTGTAAGCCCGAGAGGGCAATTCACTCTGCAGGAATTTTTTTTCTTCACTTTCACTTTGCACGATTTTTTTTTCAGTCACCCTCCTTTGCATGATTTTTTCTTTGGTTTCCCCCTCCCCAATCACTGTTCTAATGGTCCGTCCCTAAGCATACCGTTCATGTTTTAAATATTATCGCCTAGGTGACAAAAAGAACTCCTTGCCCACGTCAAAAAGATCACTCTTCCATACTTCAAACAGTTTGCTCCCTCGGCCTTATTTATAGTTACACCGTGACTCACTTTCTTCTTTTTTACGTGATATAAACGGTATAAATTGGTAACCGACAATGTTGAGCCGCCTAAGCAAACCAAAAAGGTATGTTTTGGATTAAAGCCATAAGCTTAAACATATAAACCTTACTAAGGAGTTGCGATTGATAACTTTACTCGGTTACGATCGATATGAGCTGCCAAAGCTTGGTTTTGAACTAAGTCTTCCAGTCGATGAAAGAGATTGTATCAAATTTTTTCACGGCTTTCGTTTGGTCCTTACTCTTCAATAAAACATTGGCAATTGTGCTTCAAATTACCCCCAACTCTGTTCGGCTTTCATGTGTTCTCCGTTCGCAGCGTTTCGCCAAATGCCGCAACCTCGTTGCAGCGGAGTATGTCAATCTTCTTTGTGGACGTTAACCAGTGAAATCAATTATCATTAAATCAGTTACCCGTCACCTACGTGGCCAACTCGAGAATTTTTTTGGTAATACACACTGTATATTCATACTGTAAGTACTATTTATACTCTAACTATTATACGTGCGGACTTCAACGATGCCTCCTCGGGTTTTGACCTCTGAGCAAAACCCTGCGAGGGCAATTATACGCCCGGACTTCAATGATGCCTCCTCGGGTTTTGGGGCCAAAATTCGCGGAAGAAAAACACTTTTAAACGTGAAACCCTGGCACGTGATTTTTGGCAACCCTTCTGTCAAAGGCCGTCAAAGCTATCAGTGCATCGAATTACACACACACCTTTGTTCAACACCAGAAGCATATCAACTAGTAGGTGATATGCTTCTGTCAATACCTAATAGTCGGCTTTAGCACTTGTTTGACTCAGTGCATCGCTTTGGCTGCCATTTCAAAAAACTTATAGCCAGGCGTTCAGTCATGCAGGCTCCTCGCACCAAACTTCTTTCTCCTTTATTTCGCTCCGCAGTCTTTTTCGGGCTGCGCCAGTGAACGCCTGAAAGAGAAAAACAGGCCAACGATCCGCAAACTATTACAAGCCAATTAAAATGTCAACCACTGAGTTGAGTAGTAACATTTATCTCATCCGTCGACTCGTACTTCGCTTCCATTGTTTATACCTTGCATATTGCAATTTCTCAGACAGAACGATACACTAGGTGATTTTGTACGCTGTTCGTGACATGATAGACAATCGTTCATTTTGTTTCCGCCATTAAGAAAAACTGTAAACGAAACTTATCTTTTCGAATAAAATCTCGCCGAACAAGCAAGACAAATATTGCGGACGGACTAGCCTCCGGGGCACCCAACGGATCGTTCCGGTAAATTATCTGTTCGGAAGGCCTATAATCCCCNTGGGCAGAATAATACAAAGGATTGTTCCGTCCCAATCAGCATTCATAGGGCTGTTTGGAAATGGCACGGAAAGACTCCGTCCTCACGGGCTTCTCGCTTTATCCCCTGCCGATTTCTCCCCGCCGTTTTGAGTTTCCCTTAGCCTGCGTAGCAAGCGTTTCCGTGGGGTTTGGAAGCAAAGAAAGACCAAGGAACGGGATTTTTGGTGTTTTGTCTGCGCGGAAAATGGGGCGAGAGCCAAAAAAAAGAGAGAGGGGGCTCCATTTTTCGCGCTGTAATTCTTTGCTCCCGAACCCCACAGAAACGCTTGCTACGCAGGCTAACTTTCCCTTGACTTACCGCCCCCGGGTCCCGTCCTGGGTCTCCAAGGATGTTCAAAGGTAATACCATAACAACTTACGGGCGCACTCTTGTTCCAGGTTTTTCTCAGAAGGGCTGTTTAACGGGTCAATTTGTTTTTAGCGTTCCGAAAAATTCCTTGCCAGGTTTAGTTTCACCGGTATTCGTTCCACTGAATGTTACATGCATGAATCTAACAACAGTACCACGGGCTAATACTCGAGCATATACAGACAGACCAACAAAAGGGAAGCTTGCTCTTGGTATGGTGCGATTTTCTCTTACATAATTTATTCGTTGCAGACATATCACAAGAACAAGCTTTTAAAGAACTTTTTCAGAATTGTGTCCACCAGCAAAGATAGAAAGGGAATTGAGTTCATTTCAACCATGGAAGGTATCTAGTAACACTAAAGAGTTGCCTTGACTATGTAAATGTAGTGACGCCTTCTCTGACATGCATTTGTCATTCAGTCATTATCGAGTGGCATATATCCTTCAGATTGGATATTTGCAAAAGACTCACCGACAAGTCTGGCCTAAACAACTACGTATACGGTACAAATATCTGTTATTATGCCTGTAGTGGCAAAAAATGTTTAACTAATTTAACCAATGGTCCAGTTTCGAGTTAACCGAGACATACATAGTACTACTCAATACCATCTTCGTTCGTAAATACTAAATCATTCACTTAAAGAGAGGTTTTGATACTAGAAACCATTAGAGNCCTATTACCATCACTAATATATAGATTAAGCCAAGCCTAGCTCCTGGGCTGGGTTGTTCAAAGCCCGATTAAACTAACCCAGGATAAGCGAAAATTTCGATCTGAGTTTTGTAACTTTGCAGTGAGGTTTTCTGTATATTGTTTGCCCTTCTGTTTTGAATTTGAATACCCTAAGAAACTACACAAAACAAAAGCAGTGAAAAACATTTGTTAACAAGAAAAACTTATACTTTGGGTAACTTTTAATCCTGGGTTAGCGTTAACCGGCTTCCGAACAACCCGGCCCCGTTTACAAGTTAATCTGACAGAGCCCGCGATCCAATCGAAAACTAGCTCTTGGTCATCGGTCAACTTCAAAAAGCCGCGTGACCTCGATGAGCTCTAAACTTGAGCTCGCGATATGGTCGTGTGATACTGGTCAGCGGATACCTTGTTTTGACAGGTGTCAATTGACCATAACATGTATGTCAAATATATATCAAAGAAGGACGTTATAAACCAAGGCTGAATGTCTCTTTCAGCCTATTAGCTGGAGCATGGCCGCCTCCGCCGTCGCCGTCGTGCGTAGGTGCCCACGAACAATACCACTAGCCATAATGACCATGAGAAAATCAATTCAAGGGTTTGCTTTTCTTTTCTATATTAGTATGGGGCTCCGCTTGGCGGCCCCTTCGGGCCGCCGGAACTCCGCTATAAAAGATGATAGATAGCCAACAAGGCGCGTAGCGCCGAGTTGGGTATATTCAGCTCATATCCACCAAGCGCGAGCGGAATAATTGTTTTATCAAAAACGCTCCCAATTTATAGTAAGCTAAAATAAAAATAAAAAAAGCAACAAAAAATTACGCGAGAGCTTACCATATTTGTAGAGCATGATGGACAAGCCCGTGAATTTGAATTGGATTATCCAATGATCCAGTTTTTAATAATGTAAATTACCTTTGAGATGCATGTACACTACAGAAAGTATTGATCGGGCTCAGTAAGCTGTTAGTAGTTTTGAGTCCGTTTCCGTTCATTACAGGGAGGCGGTATCCAGTCTACCTATTTCACTGGCACCCTGCAAAATCGCAGTTTGAATGGCGTAGAGACTTAGACATAAATCACTCGTTTAGAGCTGTTCTAACTGGGCAATACTTTGCAAATTTCTTCGTAAGAGAAGGTGAGCTTAATATCATTAAATCTTTTCTCTCTTTGTCATTGAGTAAAGAGATTGCCTACGGGAATATAGCTGAGCTTTGAGTACACCGGTTGCTGCTCCAGTTCCTGTCAAGGAAATTGACCGTTAACCTCAGTGAAAAGCGGTTTTGTGCCACACGAGGTTGCCTTATCAGAAGAATTTAGAGCCTTCGAAATACGAATTCAGCTAATCATGGCAGCTAGTAGTTTTAAGAATACTTTAAATTAACTTACAACGGATCCTATTCATAAAGCAAAATTAAAATATGGCAACCTTAGCCAAAAACAAACAAACAATGTCACAACATCCATAAACCAGAAGTCAATCCACTCTTTTTAACTACTGTCTGACGCCTCCTTATTATTCTACCATGTGCCACAAAAAGGTTTTGCGATTTTTATAGCGATCCTCGAGCAGAGAGCTTCCCGCGAAAGTTACACCCTCCTCTGAAGGATACACAGAACAACCAATGGGCAATGAGTGTAACACACTTGAATCATCAAGTCGGGTTTGCGTCATTTTCACTGTGTCCCGTCCGCAAAAGGATGTGTTGCATCCAGAGAATTGCTAAAACATAATTCAATGAAAGAAACCCAGCATCTCTCATTCTCAAAAATTAAATCCGCGAGATACAAAAGGCGAGCAAACCGCAAAATGTAACTTAAATTTAATTTTGTCCCACACTGGCTTTATCTTCGCAATGATTACTCTTGAATGTGATTGATGGCAGATAAAATGTTCTATTAGTATACATAATTACGTGCGCACGTTCTGGGCGTCATTTGTTTACTGTTAAACTATGGTTACCCATCATCACTGTTCTCTCCACAGCACAAAAAAGTGATCATCAATTCTCCAATGTGAAGGAAGAGAGAGCCGCCTTAATTTTTAACTACAAACCAACGGATGTGCAAGACTACCTGCCCTTTGTGCAGGCTTACTTTTTTTAGTTTGTTTATGTTACACATCATGCGAGCGAGTGAGAGGACGAACCATTCGAGCAAATAAAATAAATAAAAGTGACTGATCAAACTAAATAATATAATAATTTATGGAAAAGGTTTTTTTAAGGAGAGATGAAATAATAAGGGAAATGTTCTGGCGCGGAACCATGTCGGTTTCCATCGTTTTACGGAAATGGGTCAGATTTTTAAGAATGACTCAGAAACCGTGGAAAGAGGACATTAGGGAGTTGAGATCCCTCTAGAAATGAAGACGCTCGTTGTCATCATTTTCCTCTCCCAATAAGTAAAGAAATAAATGTGCTCGAAGGGGGGGGNGAGGAAACGAGGGAGGGAGAGAGGGGTTGAACACCATTTTGTACATCGTTTCGTGTTAACGTAACAACCTTTTGTATTCAATGGACATTGAACCAAACTTCCAAGACATCACGACAGTCATACTGTATGTTACACCTTCATCTTTTTGGATCTTGTCTGACTTTCTTCTTCTTGTTCTTTTGTGCCAATTTCCCTTTTTGACAAAGTTCCTTTGTTACACAATTCAGGTGCATACTTAAGTCTCATGACATGTGTCCAAAGGCAGAGTTCAACCTTGTGCTCATTCCAGTCACCTTGAGGGTCTGAGAAAAATGAACAAAATCTTCATTATCGTCTTTATTAAACCTTACCAAAATTGCTTTCCCCTGGAAAGGGAGGAGGAAGTCAGGAAATTCATAATATTTTAATTGGAATTGAGAGGGATATGATTGCCTGTACAGAAAAATGTAAACCAAAGGCTTTTGCCTAGCAGGGTTAAAGCTCGCCCCTGTGGGAGAAAAACACAGACACGTGAGGCGTACCTCCGCGCAAGCCCTTAGAGGAAGCAGCACTAAGTGCATTCTTGACAGTTATGTTTAGGTTAATCCAAAAAGGTTGTTGGCTACGATATACAGCAAAAACAAATTTAGAACTTGTTTCGCCTAAGAAATGTGATATCAAGCCCAATTTTATCAAGGCTTGATTTGAATAATTCGATCAGGAGGTTTGTTTGTTTGTTAGAACTACGATGGAACTGTTCCCATGTCAAGACAGCTAAACGTCATGCAGTCTGTAACACAGTAATAGATAGATTTAGCCAAGCCTAAAAGCGGAGGTCCTGGGCGGGGTTGTTCAAAGTCCTATTCAGCTAACCCGAATAAGCCAGAATTTTTATTTGAGTATTGTAACTTTGCGGTGAGGTTTTCTGTTTACACTATTTGGCCTTCTGTTATGAGTTTGAATAATTTCAAACTACACAAAGCGCTAAACATGAGCAGTGGAACCTGGCTCTGATTACAACAAGTTAACCTGGCTTGAGACCGCGATCCAATCAAAAACTAGCACTTAGTCTGCGGTCAACTCCAAAAAAAAAAGGGATCTCAATAAGCTGATCGATCAGACTCGCAAGGTGATTTCGCACCTCTGTCATATATCAATGGCTTAACTGAGCCACTTACAAGACTACACTCATTTGAGCCACAAGTTGACCTCTTACAAGACCTTAGAATTTCCCTTGTCATGGCCAATTTTACCAGGTTTTCGTGGACGAAAACCTGGTATCACAATAATTGTAAGTATTATAATTACTGTTCTTTTTACATTTTCTAAAAGCTTAAGATATAAATAGTTGATTTAAGTGTTTCATATGAAGTTCAAAATTTGTTTTCGACATTTGGTCCACCCAGGGTCAACCCCATCAGTAGCACCTGTTGTGTGCATAAAGAGCATAAGAGCTTGAAGAAAGGGTCGTGAAATTGCATTTTGGTAGCATAAGCATACCATGAGTTCAACGAAAGGATAATTTATTGCAGAATACTGTTTACTTACTTTATCCTCTAATAATAATTCTTTATTAACCTCTTAGTGCCTGTGGGACATAACACAACGACAATCTCTCTTCATTTAGACCTTTTTTGCACAGAATGTTGTGCCTTGTTTGAGTTCGGCACTGTTTACACTTGTCAAGTGAACTTGTACATGTGGTGTAATGTATTTTTTAAANCGTCATCGCTTCTGCATGCATTGCGTGCCGTCTATTTAAGTTTCTGATCCAAGAAAAACTAATCCTCTTAGTCCTTTATGATTAATTATTGTAGTCAGGGGCTCCGCTTACAGCACATACCCAAATAAATTGATAGTTAACTCTGCCAGAGTATTCAGCTTGGTTATCAAACCAAGCCAAATACTCTTACGCTACGTCTGGTGAATTGATCAAGAGCTGCAAAAATAACCAATCATTTTTTTTTTTTTGTGCTAGCATATTTATGCAGTTTTAACTTACTTATGTACTTACCTTTTTTCATTAAATTCTCAAGACAACTTCTTATTTTGTCAAGATATTTAAGGTAAAACTTCACTGTGTAATCAACTTTTCCCAACCCAGGTATGGCCTGCATTGCCTCATCGGCCATGAATGGTACTTGGTGACTACCAGCACACAAAATCGCTAGAGCCAAAATAAAATAAAATCCTTCAGTGACCTAGCTTGGTCGGTCAAGATGGCTGGATATTGGCCTCGTTCTTTTTTTGCGAGTTTATGGACCTCGACTCCGTCTCGGTCCATAAACACGCAAAAAAAAGANTGAGCACCTTGCCCAGATAAAAATGCGCAAGGAGAAGAAGAAAGAGGAGATAGAAAGGGAGCGAAAGGAACGGCTGAACCGGGAGTACAATGACATTGACTGGGTTAGACTGTACAACTCCGATAAGCTGTCGTCCTTAAGGGGGGAGGAGCTATCCTTGTACTTTTCCCATCACAAGATCACCTTCAAAGGGAAGAAAGCTGAAAAGGTCGCAATGATCAAAGCGCACATTGGCAGCTTGTTGTACGATTCATGGAGTGTCAACAACCTCGGCAGCCGCCGCTGAGAAATGTGCAGCAACAAGTGACCTCATCACTTTCCGAGGTTGAAACTGACCCGCAAAGTGATGTAGTAGATCGAGTTGTCGGTTCAAGCCCGAGTAGCTTAAGTAACGAATCATCACCGGAGACGATTTATACCAGCTAAACCCCGCGTGGAAACATTACCGCCGTCAAAATATGGATGAAAGCGGGTACGGGTTGAGAGAGACAACTATGTCAGTTGGGACAAGATAGTTTTTCGATACAATATTTCGACACCTGTAAATAGTTTAGACTAATCTTGACTGGTAGCTTTGCTTGTATATACAAGTTTTCGGTTTATATACACTTCACGTGTTTGTTAACAAATAAGAGTCGACTAAGCGACATGGAGTAATTTTTTCCTTGCCAAATTAAAAAAACTGTGACCTTCCCCTGGTTGCGAATAAAACAGGTTTGACCCTCCCCTATTTGTAAAAAATTTACTAATGACCCTCCCCTCCGAAGCCCCGGCCCACCCACCCCTCCCCCCTCCCAATAAAACACGTACCTTCCCTAAGCAACCTTTAATTCGTCAACTGCAATGAAGTGCAAACTAATGTGCATGCCTGGAATGATACCGGTTTCGTCTCATGGCGAGTTCGCCCCCACCGAATTCGCCCCCACTATAATATTTCTATTTCGAGTTCGCCCCCAACTTTTAGTGTTCGCGTTTACGTGGATGTTATCGAGTTATTAAACGTTTTCGAAGAACCATTTCTGTTCTTTCAGCCTATGTATGTTTGGTAAGCTTAGATGATGATTGTTCGCCTGTTGCAGCCGGCACGCACATAACAACAAAGTCAAACGGTTACCGGTCATCTCACCACCAACGAACTCGCCAAGCGAAGTCACCTCGCCACCAAGCGAAGTTTCCTCGCCACCAGTAATCTAATAAGGCAGTTGATAAAAGAACGAGGAATAATCTCTATATACGACTCGATCTGGTTGGGGGCGAACTCGCCATGGGGCAAAACCGGCAGCTACCACATGCATTTGTAATGACCCCAGCTATATAATAGATGAATAAAAAGACTAAAGCTCAGCAAATAATTTTTTTGAGCCGGGATTTATACTACTGATGATACATTCACCCGTACTGTGTAAATTCCTTAATTTCACTAGCATTCATATGGTTACCTGCACGAATATCTGTATACAAATTTCTTATTTGTAGAGGAAACTTTATCATGGTACCTGACGCCGTTGCTGGTCCAACAGCCTTTAACTTTGTTAGTTCAGTAATTGCCAGTTTCACATCGGGCAAATACTTGAATGCCTTGCTTGTCACCTCCTTTACAGTTTCACTGCTATTTGTCTGTATTAATTGAGTGAGACGAGGCCTGAACTTTCCACGCTACACCCATGAGTAAATAAATGGCAAATAAGTTGGAGGTCTACAATTGCCTGAAGTGCTAAAAGTGAGCTTATCTAAAATCAAGGTGGAGTAGAAGTATTTCTCGTTGCTTCAATGAAAGTGGAGAGCCGTCAAAAGAGCAGTAGAGAGTGTGATCTTTCGAGGATTCAGCAATTGTTTAGACAACGATATAGAAAAGGACAACTTACAATTTTTGGAAAACTACAAAACTAAAAAAGTAAAATTAATTAGCACGGCAAGAAATTATTGTATTGAAAAATATTGTGCGAGGGATATGTTAGAAAGCGAAATCAAATGTTTTAGGAAATAAGTTGGTAACCATGGTAACAATACACAATTACAGTAAAAGCTGCAAAGTATAAGGTGAGTTCAATTCTCATCGTTTTAACATAGAGGGAATCGAATGAATAGAATGTTATGTTACTACAGTATTATAATTGTAAGTTGCTGGTTTGATTATAAATCAATATGGAAAAAAAAAAAATACATGGCTCGATTGTTGTCTTAATCACCATAGAAAGGGTTGAATGGGGTCAATATCAACCAAAGATACATGCCTTGTAGTCCTTGTGTATCATCCAATTTGTAATTCATTTTTAATAGATTATTTCCATTGGTGCCACAATCACTATGATTTTGAAGCAGGAGGTCAAATACTTTTAATGTACTTTTCATGGTCTATGTTTTTCTTGCTCACCCCATGAAAATAGTTGAAACCCATTGCATTACCAATTTTCATGCGTCTTCAAAAAGCCATGAAAAGGCCATAAACATTTTTCATGAATTAATGGACAACCATGGTTTTTTCATGAGCCATGAATTCAGTGCCTCATTAAAAGCCCATGAACTACAACACCATGAAAAACCATTAAAAGGCGACGAAAAACAATGGGTATTTCAGGGTTTTGCCTGTAAATTACGGAGTTTCATGGCCATGAAATGTGAAATATTAAATGCTTTTTAAATAGTTTTCCATGCTTTTTTCACTGTTACATGCCATGAAAAATCCTTAAATTTTTACCATGAAGTTGCCATGAATAAATTCACATGATTTTCATGGGTTTTCAGTTCATAGTGATGGGAAATGGCATTTCTGATCCCCCTAAAATACAAATTTCCCCTGTAGCAGTGGGTGTGTGGAAAACATGGAATCAGGCAGAATCTGGAAATGGTACCAGACCAAACCAGACCCAGACCCAGACAATGACAAATTGGTGATGTTTTGTAGGTGTTATGGAAAATTTGAGCTTGTCATGCTTCAGATTTAAGTTTGACCTTTTCATTTGTTTCTTTTAATGAGCAACTATTGTTTTGCATTCAGTGGACATGCATTCTGTGTTTTCTGTGGTTTCAAGATCTCACTTGTCATTTGTTACAACACAGTGTCACAATCTTTATAAGACAGACAACAATGCAGCACTCAAATGGGTTGCTCACAGAGGCAGATCTAGGAGAGGGGTTGCCCTTTGAGGAGCATTTTTTTAGTTATTTGTTTGACTCTTCAAAAAAA